CCACCACTTACCAGATGTGCAAATTGGACCTTACCTCACCTCACCTGGAGGTAAGAATGATATTAGCTACATAAAGATTTTATGAAGATTACATGGGAAACATGTATAAAGCATAGAGCACAATGCCAGGCATATAATAAGCACTTAAAAAGGATAGTCTTTATTATTATTACCTTTGATAATAAGATTATTTCTATAATTTTGTAATTTTAATTATAAATGGGTAAAATTGCATCATTACTTATTGTGTCAACCACTTTGTATATACTTAGAATTTATTGAAATGATTTGAGTAATTTATATTTACTTAGAATTTATTCAGTTCCCCTAATTGTTTTAGTCACTGTTGAACTGGTGCTCCTTGTATTTTGTTTATGATGTCTTCTCAAACATTATTTTCAAACAATTTGCCATGCATAGATATGATGTGAGAAGTTCTTTATCTCTTTCTAGATAGTTTTTCCTGTATGATTATTTAGGTTCACCATTCATCTTAGACCATTGATTCTTTTTATTTACCTCAATTCTCTATTTCTTCTCTAACTAAGATATGGAGATAATTTGACACATTATCTTTGAGGAATTTAAAATAAGAATAATGTTGCAGGGCCAAGCTCACTCCCAAGAGTCATCCAAGATATGCTGGGCCTGCCCAGCCCATTTCCTCTCTCTAAAGCATCATGATTTTGGCACATCCAGAGTGGATCCTTATTTTGAGACACACTCTAATTAACAACCATGGTAATTTATTACTATATAGTGAGAAATATAAATTACAAGGTTTAAGGGACTTGATGTCCATACGAACAATGCATTCTCCTCCTGAAGAGCTACATAGAGCCAAGTCATTATTAGAAGGTTACTCTTAGGCTTAAAATAAAAACAGAAAGAAGTAGTTAAACATATTTGTTGTTTATTAAAATCCAGCTAAAATCGCTTGATGCAGCGATCTCCACATGATGAATCACCTTGTCAGGAGAATTAAGACACTAAAGGTTGATTAGAGCTCTCTTTCTTGAACTAAGCAGCTTGAGTAGATGCTATTAATACTTACCTCTGTTACTTCCCTTTTTCTTTGTAGGAAAAAATTGTCAACTCTCTCCCTTCTCTCCCCCCACCCCACCCCCAACACACAACAACATTCCTAAGTGTTTTAGGCATTAACCCTGTCACTGCTAGTGAATGTATGAAGACTCTAGTAAAACTAAGGCAAGGCACCATATTACAAGAAGAAAATAATAATACAGTAATTTTTATGTAGACTTGATACATATCCTTAAAAGAAAATTAATCTGTGATAAGTAAGCTTAATTTCAAGTTTTTAGGGAAAAACAAACCTTGATAGTTCCCAACTTCTTTACACACCCAGTTAGTGGAATCAGAATTATTTCTTCTTCCAATTTTCTCCTCAAAACTTGAGCTCATGACTCCCTAAAGCAGGTCACTAGGCAAAACTATAGTTTTTCAATTAGTAAGACATTAGAAGGAATTTCAAGCTGACACCAGTTTGGCTCAGTGGATAGAGTGTTGGCTTGTGGACTGAAAGGTCCCAGGTTTGATTCTGGTCAAGGGCATGTATGTGGGTTGCAGGCACATTCCCAGTAGGGGGTGTGCAGGAGACAGCTGATTGATGTTTCTCTCTCATCAATGTCCCTCTCTCTTCCTCTCTGTGAAAAATCAATAAAATACTTTAAAAAAAAAAAGAAAGAAAGAAAGAAAGAAAGAAAGAAAGAAAGAAAGAAAGAAAGAAAGAAAGAAAGAAAGAAGGGATTTTAAGAGTTTAGGGAATGAGCTGGGTTCCTTACTGAAAAGGATTAGTAAGAGACTCTATAGACAGAGAATGAGTAAGTGATTTCAGAAAGCTAGAAAATATAAGAGATTCACAGGAAGGCTACTATCCACAAAATCTCTTCCTGTAGGCTTGGGGGAACATCCATCCCACCATTTCTCTGTACACAGTACACACCCACATCTAAACAAGGAGGTGCTTTATCTACCATGTGATAAGAATAAACTAGATATCTAGAGGAGGGATAATACCCAATGTGTTGTATATGGCTATATGCCTTTAAAAATAACACCTGAATTATTGAGTAAAGAACTACATAGAACTTCATTAGAAATCCTGAGTAAGGCTAGATTTGTATCATAGGATCTCCACTTTCATCAAGCCATAAATAGGTAAGAACTCATACCCCCACTTAGACTTCTTTCTATAAGATTACCTTTTCCATTTTGTAGAGAGCAGCCTACTTGGAAGGGACAGAAAGAAAAGAGGAACTATAAAGGTTAGGTTGCTTTTATGATTTACTCCACCTTTTGTTTATATAAATGACTAAATTCTGTTGAACAAAATGGAATATAATCTATTACTTTTTTATAATTATTCTATATTATATTAAACTAGAGGCCTGGTGCACGAAATTAGTGCACAGGTAGGGTTCCCAGGCCTGGCTGGCAATCAGGGCCCATTGGCTGCTGGCTGGGGCCTCCCTTCTCCGGCTACCAGCTGCCAGCAGACGCTTTCTTTGTTCTGCACTGTGCCCTGGTGTTCAGCGCACATCATAGCAAGTGATCAAACTCCTGAGGGGACAATTTGCATATTGGCCATATGTTAATTTCAAATTATATTCTATAATAACAATATTATTTCTTTTATTTTTCAAGTTCTTGAAAGATGTCTTTCTGTTCTCCTCCTTCAACAATATATTTGAGGTGAGGTCAGAAGTAGTTTAGTTTATAGTTACTAAAATAGCTTTTTCATCATGGCTGCCCCAGAAATGCACTGAAGTGTTAGATTTTTTGTGACCAGGACACTTGTTAGAGGTGTAAAAATTAAGGCAGCGTGGAGATCCTAATCCCATTATTAAAGAGTTGGTTTGAAGACCCTCCATCCATTGAACAAATGTGTCTTGAAATACCTCAATAATTTACAGATTAGGATTAACCCAACATTACTAACTTTATCATTCAATTTGGTGACTAAAAGCAGAGATAAAGATAGATGTCATCAGGTGATGAAAATGTCAGAATCAAAGACATCAGGTAGCATTTTCTCATATTTATACTTTCCTGATGCCTATGATTTGAATTTTATTATTTTTTATATCATAGAATATTTGTTGCACTGTTGAAACAACTCTTTCCTATCTCCCCTTACTTTCTCATAAAACACACCACAGTACCTATCATTTAATTGCAATTTCTTTAAAGTTTTTGCTCACTCTGTATGATGCAGAAATAGTAACCAATGTATATGCCACAGAGTTCCAACCTGTTTTACTTCCTGGGTAAAAGGCCATTAAGGTAATGTGTAAAAGCAGTCCATGGAGACTACTCTTTTGCAATTTCCTTGTTTCAGAACATATCTTAAGCAACATGTGGCTTAGTGGTTGAATAGTGATGTGGAGTTAGGTGTGCTCCATAATGATTACCTGATTCCTGTACTGTCGACCTTTAATTTCTGAATTTGCTGGATCGCTGTGGGTCACCTATTAAACAACTTATTAAATGATTATCCACAGATGAAGAAATGGGGACACAGAGGTGCAGATATTTCAGTTAAGACATATATTTCTTCATAACTTTCAATTTTTGCAAAAGAAACAAAAAATTTACTTAGGCCACAAATTCAACCTAAACCCAAACAGAAAGTTTGAGAGAGGGCATACTTCTAGGTGATTACCCAAACTCAAAGTCCTGAGATTTTTCATTGTTATCTTTTGTGTCATTAACTTATAAATATCAGCCTGATAATACTAGAAAATATAGAACTGTTCTTGATATCTAGTAAAAGCATATTAACCACAATCTTGACAAGTGTATTCCTTCAATTCTATTATGTAATAAAAACAATATTTTAGCAAGTCAGGAGGCTTGATATTATTGTCAGGCAGCATACAATAGATACTCAATTCAATATTTGTTAAACAATTAGCAAAATTTGAATGCTGGAACTGGGCCTCAAGAGAAGGGGCTTAGAGATGTAAAGAAAGACTGAGAAATCGTCAGTTGATTTGTTATCTAGAGAAGCTGATACTTTAGAATATAGCACCACTACTTTTCAACCAGGGGTTTTATAGACAGAAGTGTGGGTTGATTTCCAAAACAATAGAACTGGAGTTTCAGATATTCCACGACTCCCTTTAGTAAATCCCTACTTAAAGAAAGCTTGAACTTCTTGCTTTTACTTCCTTGGTATCTTGATTTTGACATTATAATAAAAATTTAAAGCTCTTTAGTTTGGCAAGGAAAATCTTTCTAAGCCATATTAGCTCTATTTCAGACCTATGGACCTATTAAATAGGAACTCTGGAGGCTTCATTTGGAGGTCTGATTGATTGATCTACTGGATCATCACCAGAACAGCAATAATCAGTGTATGGCATTGTAGATTGTAGCAGAAAGATGTCTGGTTAAATGAAGGGCCTGTTTAATTGATTTTCAATTAATCAGGACTTTACAACATAGTAATATGTTAAAACAGTAACAATATGCATAATCACTTACTTTTAGAGTCAGGTTCCCATTTATATTTATATGAATTTCATCCATGCTCTATTTTAAATGTATGCATACATGTCTTACACAGGATTACTATTGTATAAAGTCTAGTTTATTTCATCTTCTAACAGTTTACTTAGAAATGTAAAATTGACTACACTGAGTATTTTCTTAAAAATTTTTTGTACTAAAAAACCTACATCTCAAATTTTATTTATTAGCTCACATGTTTTCTTCCCTTTACCCATAAAGTGTGTTATAGATTTTTATTTTATATAAACTAAAAATAATGAGTGTTATTTTGAAATCCTTATGGTTCTGATGATAACTGCAGGTATGTCAAAGTGTGACATTTAGTAATTTACATCATAGAATATAGAAGAAACAGAACATTAAAGAGTTACTAAAGAATAACTGTAAAAATTGCCAAAAACTTTACCCATGTAAATGTGACATCATATCCTGACCAAAGGAGGAAGTGGCAGGTCACAGGGCTCAAACTTACTGCTGTCAGAGACAGCACACTGCTTGCTGTCTTCAGTTGTTTCTGTAACGACAGAAAGTGCACCTACTTGGAGTAGTCTGAATTCAAAATGCTGAAGAGAAAACCATCCAATGTTTCAGAGAAGGAGAAACATCAAAAGCCAAAGGTAAGGCAATTTTATACATAGTCAAACAAAACTAAACCACTTAATAAATTGCACACACGGAGAGAATTCTTATCTGCTAGTCATAAATAAATTCAACCATACGGCTGAATGCCTCATAGCAAATATGGAAAAAGATTGCATTACAAAACTAGATGTTAAATAATACCTGACAATTATATATGATCTTTGTAATTTAACTTATAGGTCATATTTCATTGTTTATATCTGTAACTGAACTTTGAGCACAGAATATCAACTTCCTTGAAGTCAATTTGGTGATCTCTGTTTGAAAGATTGATATTATAAAATCTTCTTGCACATTTTTAATGACAATAGACTTGTTAATGTCTACTTAACAATTTTCTGAATTTATTTTAGTACTTTTGTGCTCAGGTCTTCACAATAAATTTAATTATGAGAAGATTTTAAAATAAATATTTGGTTAAATATTTGATGTTTTTATTTTTAATATTAAAATATGTCAGCATGTTGTACATAGTATTTTTCTATTCTGTTTTTTGAATTAAAGAGAGAATTGGGTTGTCTTTTGGGAAGCCTCAAACCCCCAAAATTAATAGATTTGACAAGTTGATTTTATTTGGCATGTTTTTCTTCTCTTAATAATTGCCACTTAAAAAGTAGAGGTGCCTGGCCAGTGTGGCTCAGTGGTTGAGTCAACTATGAAACAGGAGGTCTTGTTTAGATTCCCATTCAGGGCACATGTGGGGTTGCAGGCTTGGTCCCCAGGAGGGGATGTGCAGGAGGCAGCAGATCAATAATTTTCTCTCATCATTAATGTTTCTATCTCTCTCCCACTTCCTTCCTCTTTGAAACCAATAAAAAGTATATTTTTAAAAAGTAGGGCATGAGGTAGCAAAGTTTAGTTTCTATTTCAGAAATCTATCTATATTAGTTATTAGTTATTGATTTATGAAATCCTGGTATAGAAACTTTTTCTAACATTTGTACATTCTTGAGTTTGTTATGTAAATAACATTTTAATTCTGTTTGTGAATAAATAATAACTGAGTTTCAATATTTTTAAAGGACTAATTTATTACCTGTTATTTGTCTTTATATACTTGACACCCAATCTCAGAGGAAGGATTTGAAAATTGTAAACTTTTGACTTGATGTGGCATTGAATAATCATCAATATTTGAAAACTCCTTGCAAGTTACACACAACCACCCTGAAATAAACTAAAATTAAATGATTTCTAATCTTTGGAATAAATTATTTTTAATATTAATTCTTACTGACACAAAGATCTGATAAAGGGTAGACAAGTATCTTTACTGAAAAATATAGCTAGATAACATAATTTATTTTTCCCTAAGGTAATAAAAATTCAAAGTAACATTTTCCAAAAATTATCAATACAAAAACAGTTTCTAAAAGCATCATTTACCTTTATATTTAAGATTAATTTTATATAAAATTTACTTGATTAAATGCAATAACATTGAGTTTATAATAGTAGATTTAGGAAGATTCCAATAGTATATTTAGGAGGAAGCAGTAGTTTCCCTCCAAGTATTTAAAATCTAAAGTTAGAATATTTCATAAAGATTGTATTATATAGTAAGTTAATATGTCATTAAACTATTTCCAAAATGATATTTCAGTCAATTATCATTTGCCTTAATTGCAGGAACTATTGTAATATAAATAGAGTGCTGTTCATCTTATTGACTTTATTATTCATAAAAGTAAAAATAAATTGATAAAATGCATATCTGGTAAAAAAAAAAACATATATTGCATTATATAGTCACATTGGAAACATTAACTCTTGTAAATGAATTTCCATTTTCTTTTTTTTTTGTTGCAATTTTCTTAATGATGTGACTTGAGCAAATGACAAAGATTCAAATTCAAAATGCAATATGTTTTTTTTTAAAATATATTTTATTGATTTTTTACAGAGAGAAAGGGAGAGAAATAGAGAGCTAGAAATGTAGATGAGAGAGAAACATCGACCAGTTGCCTCCTGCACATCCCCCACCGGGATTGTGCCGGCAACCAATGTACATGCCCTTGACCAGAATCAAACCTGGGACCTTTCAGTCCACAGACCGATGCTCTACCGCTGAGCCAAACCGGTTTCGGCAGAATTTCCATTTTCTTGAGATAAATAATTTTATTCCATATACATTTTAAAATTCATTTTCCTATTACACTTGATGTACAAAATTATATTAGTTTCATTTGTACAACATAGTGATTAGATATTTGTATATCTTACAAATTGATCACCTCAATAAGTCCAGTATTCATCTGACACCATACACAATGATTACAATATTTTCTACTATATTCCCTATGTGTGACTATTTTCATTACTGATAATTTGTACTTCTTAATCCCTTTCACTCTTTGCACCCATCTCTTCACCCTTCTTCCATCTAGTTACCATCAATTTGTTCTCTGTGTCTATGAGTTTGTTTCTCTTTTGTTTATTTATTTTGTTTTTTAGATTCAAAATGTAAATGATATAATATTCCATTGCATAAAACCCTTAGCTCCATTCATGTTTTAAAAAATGACAAGATTTCGCCAAGACCGGTTTGGCTCAATGGATAGAGCGTCGGCTTGGGGACTGAAAGGTCCCGGGTTCGATTCTGGTCAAGGGCATGTACCTTGGTTGTGGGCACATCCCCAGTAGGGGGTGTGCAAGAGGCAGCTGATCGATGACTCTCTCTCATCGATGTTTCTAACTCTCTCTCCCTTCCCCTCTAAACAAAATCAATAAAATATATATTTTTTAAAAATGACAAGATTTCATTCTTTTTTTGGCTGGGTAATATTCCATTTCATATATATACCACATCTTTCTCCATTCTATATAAATTGGAAGACTTTGTGAATGTATATGTACAAGTATGTTTTTCATATATTCCATGTTAACTTAATTCTTTCCTTTTAATATGTAGTTAATGTTTCCCAAATATTATAATTATGCCTTATAAGCATTTCTTTTTCTGGGTAAGTTGTTGAGCATTTTGTGGAGGAGAAAAAAAAAAAAACAAAAAAACAGAATCCCTAGGGATGGCACAGATTGATGTTATGGCAATCCCTGTACATACATGAGTGGTAAAATGAGGAGTGCAAATTTCTTCTTCATCTACTAGAAGAGGACACAGGGCATGTATCCAGAGAGATAAAATAGAACCATCAAGGAAACTGTCTAACATATAAGAAAATCACTGTCTACACTGACTAACCACATACCAATTATTCAATCTCCTGAGTCAGAAACATACACACATTATCCTGCACTATTTCAGAATTTTTGAGAGAGATTTCCCTGCGTTTTATTATAAACTAGAGGCCCATCATGCGAAATTGTGTGAGGCACCCTGCCTCCTGCCGCAATGCGAGAGCTGCTGCTCACAGGCCTGCGGGGAGGTACAGAGAGGGGCTCCATGCACCTCCTGGTGACAGGTCATTTGGTCGTTCGGGCATTATGGCCAGTGTCTTTTTACAGTATAGATACTGAAGTAAGTAATGAGCAACATTAAAAATTAGGGAAATATTATTTAATCATTTGGTTCATGTTAACTACTATAGGTTTTATTTCAGGTGACAGAGTACCCAATTCAAATAGTGGATGCATTTTATACCTCAAATAAAAGTTATGAAACTGATCATTTGTATAGGAAATGAATGGAAGAAGACTTTTTTGTTAGTATTTTTAAATGACTTCTACTTGTGAGAAGAATTCAAACCATTCATGGATATAAAATGTAACAATAAATTGTGTAAGTGTCCTATTTCTAAAATAATTTATTATTTTCTAATGTTCTCAAGACTTACTGACAACATGCCCATCAATAAAAAATAATAGGTCAAAACACACATTAAAATACATATTTAATTTCATCACTAATGTGTCCTCTTTTTCACCCTTTATTTTTCTGTTATTCCACTTTGGGTATGAGTTCTTTCTTTCAAATAGCTCATAAATAGAAACAACAGTATTCATATTTATTTTAAGAGATTCATAATGCAGCACAAGAGGAAGAGATAAGAGATATTTCATAAGAGAAACTAAAAGAGCCTGGGAAATTATTACAAAAGAAACTCACTATTTATACTGGAATGTTAATAAATTCCAACAGGTTCAATTTGTTACTCAGAATCCTCTATGGTGACTAGGTATTTTGCAAATTAAGAAAGGAATTTGATAAGTAGTTGTGCAGTATTCTACATTTAGTCTATAAAAAATAGCCTTGGCTAACATACAGGCAACAAAGTATACTGTACTTCCTTCTTTGATTTTGTTTTTACCTTATTATCATGAGTGTCCATTACAGATATAATTTTTCAAAAAGTTAAGCATATCCAGGATTAATATTTAATAAGATATATCATTTAACTGTATAAATGCTTGCATTATAGAACAGAAGATTTTTGAATACTTTTTCAATTAAAAATTTTTTTATTTTTAGCTTTCTATATTTATTGTGAGTTTTTTACATATCTGTTGCTGTGTTCAGAGCTTTTCGTATACTAATTGATTTAATATTTGTAACAACTCTGTGAGGGAATGTCTTGTCTCATAGAGGAGAGAGCATAGAGAAGGTGAATTAACTTGAGAAAAGACACACAGGTAAAAAATAAAACTGTGTGATATGAAATACAAATATCAATTTTCAGTATTCCTATTCTTAAATATTATGCTGCCATTACAAGTATAGAAACAGTAGATATTATTTCTAATTGTCTTAATTACCAGCTAAATTTTAATGAAACTTGGCAGGACATATTTGTAAGAGCCTCTGTAGGTTTGATAGGAATTTAGAGATTCTCCATTCTTATCTCTGATTAGATGCAAGAATTCCATCTACAAAATTTAACACTTACTGAAAAACAATAATAACAGCTTCTTTAATATTCAAATTGCTCAAGAAAAAACAACCTAAAATTGAAGTAAGTATAACCATGTATCTCCTTCCTGCACCTAGCATAACACCTTCCATGTAGTTGGCGCTTAA